ACACAAGAATCACAAAAGACGAGGGTGGGGGGAGCGGCGCGGGGGAGCGCGGGCGGGTGGTGAAGCCGCCTCGCTACCCCCACCCTCGGCTTTTGTGATTCTTGTGTTCTTCTTACCGCGTTGAGCGGAATAGCCTATTGGCAGGGGTAGCATTGCCCAGCAAGGCACGACCACCATGTGCCCATGTGTTAATGTATATAATTGCATTTAAATGAATCTAAATGATAAATATTTCAGCAACCCCAATACCCACAGATTGTTACTATTCTCATTCACACTCACTCCATAATATGCACCGCATTTTCTGGCAACCCTTCACAACATGAACATTTGGACTCAAACAGAAAATGTATAAACAGAGGAACATTTAGTGGAACGCCAGTAAAGAACAAATTTGACACAAGTGGTGATTACTCTAGTTTAACTGTAGAAGTACACAGGTGATAGATTTATGTGAGCCATGCTATGGTTGTCCGATACATACTGTATTTTGCAAATGCAATTAGTTTGCGTGAAGAACTGCATCCTCAGCGGTAAGTTTTGAAAACAAACATCTCCTACAGACAAACCAGAACAATAACTCTCCCATTTCATTGAACACTAACCGAGGCGGATCACTGTGAGGTGGTCTGGAGACTGATGCTTGCTTGCTGGAGGAACCCACTGGAGGAGAAGGCCCGGAGGAAGGGGGGGGGGCAGGAGGGGAAGGAGGACGGCTGGCTGGCGACTCTAATTGGCAAATCACGAATTCACCGCCGGGTTTAAACAGGGAGATGACGAAAGGATGACCACGCAAACGCTTGAAAATAAACGAGGATGACTTTGCCCCGCTGGGCGCTGCGGCCCGGACGGAACGCAGCCTCTCGGGACTGCACAGCGAACAGAGCCAAGCGCTGTTTGTCCCGCTAAACGCAACGCCAGATCGAATAGCCCATCATTTCAGCGAGAACTCACCTCTCAATATCAGATCACTTGCACGACGAGAAATGGCAGGCCACCCGCCGGTCTTACCGCAACGACGGCCTCCTCCTAACCTCTCCTTATCTGGTCGAGCCCAACCGTGTCAAGTCAGCGCTAAAGGAAAGACAAGTATTTCGGTCACTTTGAATAGCGCAACAGAAAGAACAGAAAAAAATCAAACGCGCGTTAGAGATCGGTGATCGAAGAACGCGAGCAATGAGGTGGGCTAGTTGTGACAAAGAAAACGGAAATCGATGCAGAAGCAGCAACGGAAACGGAACACAGATATATACACACCTCTAGCGAGAGGTACTCCCGTCTATGCAGCTTAAGGAGCCGTCAAACGGGTGTCGCACTCGTCTTTCCTTTCTCACCTGTGAAAAATAGTGAGAGTCGTTGGGCAGTGACCAAACAAGAGTCCGTCCGAAAGGCCGGGGGGTCAGCGATCGATTGGTCCGCAGGTCCGCAGGTACGTATTAAGGTGCCCTTACACTCAGCCTGTCCGCTGTATCCGCATTGATGTTAAACCGTTTTCAGATATGGTTTTTATTACCAAACGTTAGAAAATGTGTCCAGGATATACGGTCGTACATTTGATTAGAATTTCTGCCTGAAACATCAACGGAAAATAGAAAACGGACACAGCCGGACACGTCCGCGGACACCGAATACGCTGAGTGTAAGGGCACCTTTATACGGTCGGTTTTCGTGGCCGTGACAAGCCGCTCCTAGCCGCGCCCACGCACCCGCGACGGCTGACGGCTGTGGACACGCGATGACCGCGAGCACCCCGACAATAAGAGGGTCGCGGGGTGACTGTGGGGGTGGGGGGTGATCCGTGGTCGTCGTGGGAGCACACCCTCTCTAGACCGAATGGCGCTTGCTGGGCGCTACGAGCGGCTCGCCACGTTCATGAAACCATCAACCGTGCTCGCGAACCGATCGCAAACCGACCGATCTTTCAGACAGGCCCCAAGACGCAAATGTGTGCTTCCCCGGGCGATCCGGGCGAGGAGGTTGTGGGCGCTGAGAGGAGCGGGAGGAAGCGGTGAGTAGGGGTGGTAGGGGGCGCGGGCCGCCGCCTCGATTTCAAATCGTGCCGCTGCTTTTACTAAGTCCGCACCGGGGGCCGCGGTGGCAAGAGATCTCTATCTTCCTGTTCCAGGGCCGGCAGCCGAATGCCTTCGCAGCAGCAGCGGTCGCGGCCTGCGGTCGCTGCTCCAGTTCAAAAGGACAGGACGGGAGGCAAGAAAGGGGATTCGGTTGAGCTGGGCGTCGGAGGGAGTTTGGGAGATTGCTCGCAGAATACAGCCCGGTCACGGGAGAGCCTAGGAGCTGCCTCCTCCTCCTCCGCCCCCCCCCCCTCAATTCAAGTGAGACTCGGCATTCACGTGCGGGCACGAGGTGGGGGCGAGCCGACTATGTGCACAGAGGAGTCCCCCTAGCTGGAATACAGTGATTTGGCGGCCTAACCCCCACCCACCGACCCCCCTCGCTCCTGATTCTTTATGCCCCATCTCCTTTCACTATGGCACTGGCGCTCGGTTCGGCCCAGCCTGCTGGAGAAATGTCGGCCCGAACCCCGCGCGCTGCCCGCCCCAGCAGAGCAGCGCTCCGACGGAGACCCCCAGGGTCGCGACAGTCTCGCGGAGAACGCCCCGCCCCGCCAAGCCCCGCCCCACCCCGCCCGCCGAGCGCGAGACCTTTCCTTTCCCTCCCCTCCACGGGCGGGGTCCTTGGCGCCCCATGCTCCTGCGGACGAAAGGTTGGTCGTATCGCACGAGCCGGCGGGGAGAGCAGACAAGGCAGGCGCAGGCGGGGCGAGAATGCTGTCCGTTTTTATGCATTCTTTCCCATGCGGTAGATACGCGCTCCACGAGGTTTGCAAATTTTTGCCACAGACTGTGTTATGCGTAGTTTATTCCGTAACAGCAGTAACAGAGAGACGCCAGGCCGGATGCAGGCTCTATGTCCCTCTCCCTTACTGGCCCTGCAGGTTGGGGTGGCAGGGCCGAGGGCCGGCACACAGCAGCGCCAAGGCCATCGCTCCCGTGTCTCTTCCCCTTCAGAACAAGTGGAACAAGTCTGCTCCTCTTCGCGTGCCGCGGCCGGGGCCGGCGGGGGTCGGCAGGCGCCGCGGCCCCCGCGCACCGCCCCCGTCGTCCGGGCAAAGCAGCAAAAAGGCTTTTGGACTCCATGCTGGCCACTCGGCCGTGCGAAAGTCGGTGAATTTCGTTCCCTTCAGCGTGGTCTGTGACCTGTGTGCGTGCAAGTGGGCGTGCGTCCGTGAGCGCGCGCACACGCACACATACATACATACACGCCTGAATGCGTTTCAGCCCTCAGCAGAGGGTGGCCCGCCCGCAGACCCCGGAGCACAATTTAGTTATACAGTACCGCATTCAGGCGAGTGGATGCGTTGCCTACTTGCCAAGGGGCGCCAAGGGGTCGTAAGGCGCAGGGTTGGGTTGAGAAGGGTACGAGGCGGGAGGTGGGCCTGGCCCTTACGCCCTTACGGCTGCGAGCGGTACAATATAACTACACGAAGTAATCCTGGGCCACCCTAAAGTCAAATCAAAAATTCTTCTGGATCTTATGGGGAAACCTTGTATATGGGGGGAGGGGACATGTAAGCGTCTATTCGACGACCATGGCGCGACTTTTCGTTTGGAGGGCAGTCATATAACAGTTTGGTACTTACTCATCCGAACGGCACTCGGCCGGCGACCCGCTGGTACCCGCTGGTACCCGCCGGTACCCGCTGGTACCCGCCGCGCCGGGACCCCGCCGGCGTCCGTATGGTAATTGCCCCCTCCTGAGTACACGCGCGCTCCGCTAGCCCGCGAGGCCCGCGAGCCCCTCGATCACGTGCGAAATCATCACGGTCCCCGCAGCTAGGGCGGGCAGCAGAAGCCGCATGAGTACACGAAGTCGCCAAACGACACGTCTTCCTCTTCCTGGTCGCGTCGTCTCAACAAGCAGGGGAAGGGTAGGATCCGTTCGTACTGGTCCATCAGGACCCCGGGACAAACCCCAACCCCGGTAGACCCCCACCCCCCCAACTTCCCACGGTTAGAGGTATCTTTTAAGTGTCCCCTTGCCCCCAAACCCCTTTAAGTAAGCAATATTGGAGCCCCTTGCACCCGATATCCCTGTAAGGCCCCTTCCTGCTCCCCTGGTACGTACTCGCCTGGGCTCAGAGCAGGATAAGAAACAGCAAGCTGAGCAGAGAGCCGCGAAAATAAAAATGTCCACGAAGTACACAACACACCGTGATGAGCGAGAGTGTATAGTCTTTCTCCAGCCCCAACCCGTCGGCTAATGGCCCAGTAGAGCTAGCAGTCAACATCAGCAGCCCCCATTCATCCGGCATCTCCAATCTCTACAACACGGGCGGAAAATAGTATTCATTAGCTGCTGGACGGCCCAGCCGATTCGTCACCGACTGCGACCGCCTAGACTTTTTACGGGACGCGTATTTCGCACGAGTGCTTCCATGGTTACTCCCCTGCCGCAGGCGCACCCACGAACAGAGCGGCAGGCTCAGGTTGGGGCTGGAGGATTAGGGTGTCCCAGAACGAAAGTTTGAGCACGACTCCGGTATGGTCCCTGATCTCGGATTTGGACCGAGCGTGGCTTGTTTCGGGGATAATTTGCCTACCTTGCAAACGAGCCACGTTTTGTCTAAATCCGACGTATGCAAGTCGCGCTCAAACTTTCGTTTTGGGACACCCCACTGAGGCTGCGGGTGCCAATAGGGGTGCTACCACCCTGACGGTGACGGCACCGGGCCCTGGTCGTTCCCCAGTGTCGTCCTGAGGGGGTGGGGGCGAGGTGTAGGAGGGTGCGTGTGGTGCTGGTGCTGGTGGTGCGGAGGTGCCGAGGAGGGCCCGCGCGGCCTGGCCGAGCACATTCCTCTGCACTCCACCTGGCGAGGCGAGGGCCGGCGGGCCACGGGCCGGTGGGCCGCTCCGGTGAGGTGAGTTCCGCCTACCCGGGCTGGCTCTCTGGTGCTGGCTGGATGGCGCGGCCAGACTTACCCGTTATTCTGGGTGCGGTGGTGGGTGCCGCCGCCCCGTGCTGGGAGCACGTCGAGAACGCCGAGCAGGCCGACCGCGTGCTGCGGGCGCGGCTGCAGGCCCTGCTGGAGGGCCCGGCCGATGATGCACTGTACTCCTCTCACTGCAGGTCAGGTGCATCCCATGCCATTGCTGCACTGTATTCCTTTTGCACTCGCTGCTGTGGGGCACTCGCTGTTGTTGGGGCACTCGCCGGGGCACTCGTCGATAGGCAACGCACTCGCACGCACACACGCACTCTGCTGCAACGCGCCGGCCGGCCGCGGGGGCGTAAGGTGCAGCAGCTCAGAGACGCCGACGTGCGGCGGGGAGCGTCGGCGGCGGCGCGGATCCGAAGCAGTCTGCCTACCTCCCGGGAACGTCGCCGGGGGGGAACTGACTGAAACTGAAACTGAGACTGACTGAGATGAGAACCGAGAGAGAGGAGGAGAAGAGCGAAGCGGTGGAGCAACTGGACTGAGTCCGCGGTGTGGGCCCCGCTCCCGCTGCGAGGCGAGCGCTGTCTTCGCCGGCGGTGCGGGTACTCCGAGGGGGGACCCGGGGGGCGTCGGGGG